CTTATGGTAAAAAAGGTTATCTTAGTCAGCTGAGACTGTGCATTGTTTAACAGTTGTACTGTGTCTTTGTAGCCGTCCTTGGTTTTTAATTCTGTATGTCCTGCGCATTTGGCAAATGTTAGTTTCTGTAAAATAGACATCACATGTTGGCCTTCTTTAATTACAAGACCTTTAAGTGGGGAAAAGTTGCATATTTTGAAATGGGCAGTGTTGCCAAACAGATGCTACTTAAAGGACCACTATAGTGCCAGGAAAACATAGTCTTTTTCCTGGCACTACAGTGCCCCGAGGGTGCCCCCACCCTCAGGGTCCCACTCCCGTGGTGCTGAAGGGTGAGGATAGGAAGGGGTTAATCCCTTACCTTTTTTCCAGCACCGGGCTCCCTCGGCGCTGGGACTCTCCTTCTGACGTCCCTGGCTGAATGCACGTGCGCGGCAAGGGCTGCGTGCGCATTCAGCCAGTCCATAGGAAATCATTCTCAATGCTTTCCTATGGACGCTGGCGTCTTCTCACTGTTAAAATCACAGTGAGAAGCGCGGAAGCGTCTCTAGCGGCTGTCAATGAGACAGCCACTAGAGGCTGGATTAATCCTAATGTAAACATAGCTGTTTCTCCGAAACGGCTATGTTTACAGCAAAAAGGGTTAAACCTAGCTGGACCTGGCACCCAGACCACTTCATTAAGCTGACGTTTTCTGGGTGCCTATAGTGGTCCTTTAACTTGCTGGAGTACACTACTCCATTCTGCCTAGATCCACTCTGATGGCTGACACACCAAGTCCATGTGCTAAAGCCAGACCTAGCGTTTAATTGTAGTTGCCTTCTAGGCAGTAAAACTAATGTATGTCACTCTATTGGTAAGTTGTCACTAGATCTCTATATATAAAATCAACATTTAGTGGTTGTCTCAACCATCCACTTGCACCCCTCCCCTTCAATTGTCTTTTTATTTTTGGTGCCACATACAGAAATCTGAATCATGAAACAAACTAACTGGCACTTCCACTATCTATCAAATGCATCATGAATTGTCCATATGCTGTGAGTTCACAAATTTGGTCACGACTAGCCAAAATTTGGACAAACAGTGTTTTTAGTGATACTGAATGCAAGTCTAACGTTTGTGGGGTTTGCTGTAAACTATCCAATTTCTGCAGTGGGTTCTCACCAACTTTAACAGTAATTCTATAGCACTGCTCATCTTATCCCATAAGCAGTTGTAGTCCAATTATAATTTTTACTGTGGAAAGTCATAAACTGTCTAGTGGTAATAATGATGCAAAAAGAAACCCTGCAGTTTAAGATACTTGTTTGGTTTCATGGACTGGCAACGGTGAGCTAAGTAGCTCTATGGTAAGCACAATAAATTTGTCCAATGCAACAGTGTTTCCCATATACCGCCTCACCACCGCCAATTAACTGTATATTTATTAGCTTGACTTCAAGGATTGTCTAATACGTTGGACCTATGGCAATGACTTCACAGTACTTCATGGAGGGGAAGAAATCATTCCTAGCTGGGAAAATACAAGAATATTCATAAACTACAGAGTTGATTATGGATGCCAACTGTGGCAACTCTGGGGACTGAACAACTTCAAATTTGCTCTTCAGGCTTATCCAGTAAGTGCTTCCAGTTTATATTTCTTATTCCCCAGTGAGATAATGTGGTGGACTCCCTTGTAGACCACACTTGAGATTGGAAGCCAGACCTGTGGTGTCAGAAGTATGAATGGAATATCCTTGAGGTAATCTAGATCTGTCAAAGTTGTGCAGTGACTCTTTTCATGTGTTGGCCCAACTACTTGAAATACAAGTGAGACTGCATATTCTCTTTTCTCGTTTAATTTCTTCAAGCTACATGGATCCTGCCAGGCCAAATGTCAATTTATTGCAATGGGTAACTGCTGGTCTCATTGGAAATGCATATATTACAGCATCTTCCAATGTGACCATGTCTTGACTCTAGTGACTGGAGCTGCAAGTCGAGATTCTGTCAATCTCCAATATAATGCTGAAGGTTTTGTAGCATTTGTCTCTGAATCTTTGTAAGAAAACGAATGTGGTGACTCTGAATACTTTTACACTTTTTTTTTTTTTTACTTGGACAAAAAAATTGGTTACAAGGCTGGGCTGCAACAAATTAAATGAAGGCAGGAAATATGACATCACCTTCTCTGTCCCCTCTCTACTCCCCCCGTTTTAACTCCAATGTACTTCATACCTAACCATACACTATTTGCACTTAGGTTGAATTCTTGAAATATCATACTCCTGAAGAACAAGAGGTGGTGCAAGAGATCTTTGAAGTCTTCAATAAGACCGAAGAGCTGGAAATGTAGTGTGGTACACCAAGCACTGCGTGGCTGGAGCGTCTTTGTGGAAGATTCCATTTTAAGCATAGCAATTTCATTTTAATACATCTGCTTTTACTAAGTTCTGATTTACATTATTTTGGAAAGAAAATTGCAGACATGTGTAACTTTATATTTTGCCTCTTATGGGCCAGGCAGATGGTGTGTAGAGTAAAGCATGTGCAGAGGCTCAATTGACATTGTAGTAACCTGTCTGTTCTGTAAACTTCTTCTTTATTTGGGGTAATGTGTCTAATCTTAGGAATCCCCCCTATTAAAAGGAATCTACTAAAAAATGTTCTTGTATGTGTGTAGTGTTTCTCTACCAGTGGTGGCTCTCCACTGTGTGAGGTCCTAGGCGAAACATGAACATAAGGGCCCTGGCTGCACCCATAATGGGGGAGAATGTGAGCGGTAGTAAACGTAACTGGCCAGAGTCTCTGGTGTCTAGTGGTGACTCCTTCCTGTTGGTGCTGGCTCTGTAAATGAACTAGCTGACTGCTGCTTGGGAAGGAGAGAGGGACATATGGGGAGAGATATGGAAAGGGGGGTGGGTTTGGCATGGGGAGAGATATGGGGGGGTAAGTGGGTGCTAGGGAAGTTATATTAGTGCAATCTTCATGCTGGGGCAAGTCCTGGATACTGGGGCAGCTACTGTGAGTGCAATCTCAGTCCTGGGGTGGGTAAATCATGGGTGCTAGGGCAAGTTTGGTGAGTGAAAACTAATTTTATGCGCACTAGCAGGTGGGAAGGTTTGTAGGAGTTCTCCTTGCAGTGGATCCATATCTGCACTCTTTGTAGAATTGACAAGTCAGCCTAAGCAGACCATTCACTGTCTTTGCTCTCTGCAAAGTCCAAATGCCCTGAGCATAGCGCAAACACATCATGTTTGTTGGACAGTTCCTTGGTTTCTCCAAAAGTGGGACAGTGACAAACATGGAAATCAGGAAGCCCACCAGCCATTTCGGAATGGCTTTTAGTACAAAACTATTTGCTAAAATCTGAATTGTAGTGCATTCAATACACAATGGCAAAAATAGTTGATTGGAAAAGGGGGTGGGGTGAATGGAAAGCTCCATCTATACTTTAGTCACAGCTTGGTTATTTTAGCCTATGCAAATTTTGTAGCGACTACCTATTCTCATTTCAGTCACAGAGAAACCATTTTAGCTTGGGGATTGTGACCAATGCATTGGCTTTCACAAAATTTGGAATGATCTAATTTCCTATTGACCGTCATTTATCCAAATTAAATTTTAAAAAAAAATTTTTTTATCTAGAACTGAATAATTTTACATAAGACTCCAAACACATTTTTACCGTAGACTAGACTATGTCACTAGAGAAATGTTTAAACTGCTTCAATTGTTTGCCTCTAGTGAGTCTCTAAACAGTATGTGTAACTTCAAAGCAAAATTAGGGAAATTAATAATAAATACAAAATACACCAGATTGCCTTGCTTGCACCTTAGTGATTACAAAAAGATGCCATTTGCAAGGTCACTCTAAGGACCATAACCTCTTCATCTTACTAAAGTGGATAAGGTGCAAAGAGCCTGTCCCAGTTTTCTCATTATGTGTATGTGTTGTCAATCAACCAACTCCAATACTCTCTGCCTGACTGCCAATATCTGTTTTGGTGCAGGTTTGGAGCTAAGCTATCCCTAGATATCTTATGCCAGCTAATTATTATTACTATTTTATTTATATAGTGCCCGCAAATTCCGTAGCGGTGTACAATGGGTGGACTAACAGACACGTAATTGTAACCAGACAATTGGACGTACAGGAATAGAGTGGTTGAGGGCTCTGCTCAATGAGCTTCCATGCTAGAGGGAGTGGGGTATAGTGACACAAAAGGTATAAGCAGGAATTATGAAAGAGGTTGTTAGAAAAGTATTCACTGGGAGCTTAGGTTATTTTTGATAGTTGCAGGATAGGAGTCATGGGGGGGAGGGGAAATGAAAACCTGCTAACAGTTTAAATGATATGCTTTCTTAAAGAAGTGTGTTTTCAAAAAAAAAAAAAATATATATATATATATATATTTTTTTCTTTTTTTAAAGGAGTGGAGACTGAGTGAAGGTCTAACGGAGAAGGGATGGGAGTTCCACAGAAAAGGTGCAGCCCTGGAGAAGTCTTGGAGGCGAGCATCAGATGTGGGAGTGCGGACAGAGGATAAACGTAGGGACTGACAGAGCACAGGGGCCTCGACGGGACATACTTGTGTATTACGGAGGATAGGTAGATTAAAGAAGCATTATGCAGGGACTTGTAAGCAAGCACCAGAATCTTAATTTGAGCCCTATATCTAACTGGAAGCCAATGTAGGGACTGACAGAGGGGGGGCCCTGAGAGGTGCAGGCGGATAGGAAAATGAGCCTAGCTGCCGCATTCATTATAGATTGCAGCGGTGCAATCTGGGAACACGTAAGACCACTGAGAAGGGGATTGCAGTAGTCAAGGCAAGAAAGAACAACGGCATGGACCAGCATCTTAGCTGTGTCTGGTGTTAAATATGGGAGGATGCTAGCTATGTTTTTGAGATGGAAGCGGCAGGGTTTGATGATTGACTGAACATGAGGGGTGAAGGTGAGATTGAGTCAAAGAAAACACCCAGGCAGCAGACCAGCAAGGTAGAGGTGATGGTGGCGCCATTGACTTGGAGGGAGACAGACATGGGATTAGCAACACTTATGGGGGGGGGGGGGAAGGAGAGACCAGAAGTTCTGTTTTGGACAGGTTGAGTTTAAGGAAGTGAGCAGCCATCTAGTTGGGAATTACGGAGAGGCAGTCAGAGACTCGAGTCAAGATGGGCGTAGAGAGATCAGGAGAGGACAGGTAGATATGTGTGTCATCTGCATATAAATGATAATGGCAGCCAAAGGAGCTGATGAGTTTACCAAGGGACGCAGTATAGATGGAGAACAGTAGGGGACCAAGGACAGAACCTTGGGGAATACCAACAGAGGGAAGAAGCGGCAGAGCCAGAGAAAGAAACACTGAAAAAGCACTGGGAGAGGTAGGAGGAGCACCAGGAGAGAGCAGTATCTCATAGACCAAGATTATGGAGAAAGAGAAGATGCTGTTGATGATCAACAGTGTCAAAGGCAGCAGAAAGATCAAGGAGAATTGGGAAAGAATAAGGGACGCATGATTTAGCAACAAGTAAATCATTGGATACTTTCAACAGAGTGACAAGCGTGGACTCCAGACTGCAGCGAGTCAAGCAGAGAGTTGGATTCGAGGAAGTCTGTCAATCTCGCATACACAACTCTCTCAAGGATCGTGGAGGCAAATTGCAATAGTGATATAGGGCGGTAGTTGGATGGGGTGTTGGGGTTGAGGTTGGGTTATTTCAGAATCAGCATTATGGTTGCATGCTTGAAGGATGAAGGAAATGTACAGGAGGAAAGGGAGAGACTGAAAAAAGGAAGAGCAAGTGAGGGGGATAGTGCGAATGAGGGAATAGGATCGAGGGAACAGGTGGTGGGGAGGACTGGAGCAGAGCGGAAACCTCTTCCGTTGTAGTAGGTGCGAATTAGCATAGAACTCCCCTGCTACCTCTTGTCTCAAATCCCCCTGGTATCCTTTAGATTGTAAGCTCACGGGCCATCTAGCTAAGCACTTTGTATAAAAGAGCTCCAATGGCTAGATATCAGCTTACAGGCAGGGCTCTCTTACCTCTTGTATTTGTTTGTGTATATTGTACGTTTCTCAACTAATTGTACAGCGCTGCGGAATCTGTGTGCGCTTTATAAATAGCAATAATAAATAAACAGTGGAGTGAGTGGGGTTGGGTGATGTATTGGAGGGGGAGGGTGATAGGTTAGAGATCTTTTCCCTGATTGTAAATCTTCTCAGTGAAGTGAGTTGCAAAGTTTGAGGTGGACAGGGTTGTCGGATGAGGGAGAGCAACAGGGCAAAGAGCCTTAAAAGTGTGAAATAGGCATTTGGGTTGGCGGGACCATGTGCTTATGAGGGTGTTGAAGTAATTTACTTTTGTAGAGGAAAGAGCCAGAGTGTAGGAGCGCAGCATAAATTTAAAGTGGAGGAAGTCAGGTGCAGAGTGAGACTTTCTCCAACAGCGTTCAGCAGTTCTGGAACATTTGGCTGTGTTACTTAAACACACACAGAATGGGTGTCCTCAATGGGGCAGAACCATTTGACTGTGTACAAGTTTGATGTGTTTTGAAAGTCAAAGCAACTGCAATGGTTGGTGTAACGGATCACCTGGCACCCGACTAGGTACCTCTGTTGAAGGATGCTCCTAGCGCTTCCTGAGGACTCCAAGCACTGCAGCAGACACCACAACCACCGTACCAGAGAAGCATATGTATGCTCTTAAGCATGTGAATGCAGTAAGCAGCTGAACAGGAAAAGCATACAATCAGCTTACACTCCTGACAATCAGCATCCAATCCAATTCCCCCAATAATGAGATGACACTTCGTTTTGAGGTCAAGAAGAACTGACTGTACTGGCACATACAGCCTCTTTTATTCACAATCCACAAACATAGTAATGCCCACAGGGTTTTGAAATACAACCAATCAATCCGTACAATACACACAGACACTCCCACACAAAATCCTCCCCTCTGCCTGTGATATGATTACTGAACACAATGGGTAATATAATTATCACAGGCAGAGAAATAGTTTTTACAAAATATTAATAACTTCCAAAATATACATGCCATTCACATAAAACATACATTTTCAGAATCCGCATGCTTGAAATATACACATACTCAAAAATCAGGGCAATCGGTTCAGGGGTTAAAAAGTTAAGGGAAAGTCCTGACAAAATGAAGCATGGTTTTTCTGCCCAAAACCAGTTCCATAGAGTCTTCTATCCTGGAGATAATTGGGAAGTAATCCAATTATCTCCAAGGACAGAGGCAAAACTCCATTAGCCACATGGTAGCAAAATACAATAAAATACATAAAAATATATAACTGTGCAGCGATTGCATAAAACGGGTACATTCAACATATCCCCAGATAGCCTTAAGATCTGAGCGCAAATTATTACTGAATGGCGCTCAGATCACATACATACAGTTCAATTGCCATGGAGCCAAAGTCTTTCACATTGTCTTTCGTTATACGAATGGGCTCCATGGCATAGCTATCTGGGGTAACACTGCTCACATAGGGAAAGTACCGAATGACCCAGCTTTCG